TTTGTTGAGCATCAAATAATATGTGATCATGTTAAAATGTTTAATAAATTTTGGCGCCGTTTCTATTTCTATATAATATTGATATTAATACCCAGTAGTCTCGTATTGTTGTTGACCATTATGTTTACCCGACCCAATCAGATAGCCCTGTCATCGTATGTAATAATATTGTTGTATACCTGGGTATTCATATTTTTCATGTCCTACTGTGCCTCGAAAGTGGCCAAATCGATGACCACATCGTTCAGACAGTTATGTAAACTACAGTTAGAGTTAAGGGACAGATTGCCACTGAAATTAAAAGTAATGGCATTTTTCGAGAAACTAGTGGCCAAACTGTTTATCACTGGCTTTAATGTCGGCCCACTATTTGTTATGACTTATCCGAAATTGTTTTTTGTAAGTTTAGTAGTTATTATCAAATTATTATTATTGTTTATAAATAATATTTGTTTGAAAAAAAATTATATAATACTTTTGATAAAAGTAAAAATAATTTTTCTATCTCTATATAGGTTTCAATACAGTATTGTCGTTATATTATTTTGTCGCTCAAATTTTATGATAAAATAAAGTAATAAACAATATGTATCATAAACTTGATATTTTTTAAATAAGTTATATTTTTTTTATAACTAACTACTTAACTATGCTTAATATGTATATTGATTTTAACTGCAAAACGACAATAATATTTACTAAAATAAAATAATAATTTTCCATTCAATTGCTAATTGCTTTTGTTATAATTAATCATTTAGTTAAAAAATAATTTTTAATATCTGAACTTAAAATTTGAACTTAATATCTGAACTTAGTATGAAATGTATGTATAAGTTTTGATAATTTATAATAATATTGTATTATATAATTATTGTATAATTTATAATAATAGTAAGATATTTATAATTTGTATAATTCTATAGTATTATATTCATAAGCTTTCAAAAATATTATTTTTTAAGTATATTTTTTATTTATAATAATAATAACAAAATAATAATAATAATATTGGATAACAATTAATTATGTATGTTTGTTTTTATTTCTTTAATATATTAAATTAATTATAAATAATTAATAACATACTGTAGTAACTATTTTTTTTAATATAATACTAGTGTTGTTATTAAATACTGTTGATTATATATAAAAAATAGTCTATTGTATTGTTATACGAAATAAATGTTAACTTTCAACTAAAATAAACTTCAATATAACTTTTACTTTTACTGAAAACATTAATATATTTTTATATTAATTATTTTTGTAGTGTATATGTATTAGAGGGGAAACCGTAACTAAAAACACGGGAACCGAATGAAACCAAAACCGAACCGTAATTGTTAAGTAAATTACATCACTGCTATTAAAATGGGAAAATGAGGGCTTAATTTGTTGAATTTTTAAAATAATATTATGTTTATTTATTATATTATAAAAATATGATAATTAAAATTATTATCAGTTATAGTAATTGATATATTTATATCTATAAATTTTTGAGTAAATATAGTCAAATTATAATTAATAAATAAATAAAAGTAATACATAAGTATTTTATAAATAATTTATTAAATATTTATAGATCATATTACAAATAATAATAATAATAGTTAAATAAAAAATATTTAATACTTAATATTAAATATAAAACATAAAAAAATAATATTATTTAATGATATTATTTTAAACTTAGAACGGTTTTTAAATTGAATCCGTTTTCAATCTAAAACTATTTTTTTTAAACCGAATCACAAAAACCAAAACCATTTAAAAAAAACCGTTTCGGTTGCGGTTTTTAGTCGGTTTTATGAAACCTTTTTGTTTCGGTTTTTCCCTCTAATATCTATAGTTCAATAATAAGTTTTTCTGAATTATTTGTTGTTTATAGTTTATTGTAATTATTTTTTTTAATAAGTATTAAAATATAAAATATCAACATTTAATCGATAGATAAAAATATACAACAAAAATGAAATCTACAAACAAAATAACAACTGATCGACAATTAATGTTTATAAATGACCGATCAGTGGACAGGTATTTCAACAAATATAATGGTCATCAGTCTATTAGATCGTCGCCAGTCGATTGGCTTGTATTGCTATGTAATGTAATCAACATTTTTAAGTATAGCCTACTAATGACCTACAGTCTATCGGACACTACCCGCAAAATTTTGGTCGACTGGTCAATGTTTATTGGAGGCATTGAATACTATGTATTGTTTGCCATTATCTGTTCAATTATTTGGGGATCTATTATTAAATATATGTTTTATCTAAACTGTAAAGTTAATTGCACCTGGATCAATTTGTTTGATGTTTTACGTGGCAATAGACCCAATGAGATTTTATGGCTATCATCAACTAGTGTTAAATGTAGAAAAAATATTATTAACAAATTGATAATTGTTTTTAGATATTGTCTATTTATTAGTAAATATTGGCCATCAATACTAAGTAATTTTTTAAATTATTTTAATTTAATACTATATTCTGTAAATTTATAATTCTATAAAAATACTGTTATTTTATAATAATAATAATAATTTATATTTTCTAGCATTTTTATGTTTTATCGGCTCAATTGGCATATCAATCAATTATTATACAATATATGAATTTTTATTATCGTCAATATTTTTACTAATACTAACAATTAGCATCTATAATCTATGTAGCGATACATTTTTAACAAGCACATATTTCTATATTTTATGCTACTATTTTATTTTACTATCAAATAGCCTATTAGTTGATGCAAAAAAATTATTGCTTAACAATCATAGAAATTGTCAAAATGTTAAAAAACTAAATAAATATTTATATCGTTTATTTGAATCACACAATTCAACTGCCAAACAATTAAGACAATACAATCAATTTTGGCAAAAATATTATTTTTATTTTATATTAAACTTAATGCCCTTAAATCTGGTTATATTGACAATGATATTATTTACAAAAATTGATCTAGTCTATTCAATATTGTATACATTTACATTATTGTTTACCTGGTTGTTTATAATTATTATATCATATTGTGTATCATTGGTATCCTATCGTATACATTCACTATCAAAATATTTATATCAAATTCAATTGGATAAAAATGTTTTACCTATTACTGATAAATTAAAAACAATGATATTGTTTGAAAAACTTCATAAAAGTAAAATAATATTAGGTTTCTCATTGGGACCACTGTTTGTTATGACAGCACCCAAACTATTTCTGGTTAGTAATTATTTTAATAATAATTAATATTATTATTATTATATTATCACAAAAAAACTAATTTATAAATCATATTTATTATTTTTGTTTTATTAGCTATCTATAATGTATTTTCGTTATTTTATATTGACGCTTAAATTGGCCAAACAATACATATAATATCTATAAATACAATTATTTACATCATTAGTATTTACACTCAATAATAACTATTCAATGAAATTGATAGTAGTATTTGGTGTATATATATATATATATATATATATATATATGTGTGTGTGTGTATTATCACTTACAGTCAATAATGATTAAAATGCAATAAAATTAATATCATATATTTTTATGCTAACCAAATAAACTATCATATTATAAATATCTATAAATATTCACATATGTGTTACATTATATATATATTTGTCAAAAATTAGATGTTTATAACTTTATAGATAGTATCAAAAATGTTAATTTAGTAATAGTTGTTGTTATTGTTATTTTTATACACAATATACAGTATTATTGTAATTTCACTATTATTATTGATTAATTAGAAAAAAATAATATTTCAAAAATGTTTATAAAGAATTTTCTATACATATACAATATAAATAATATATAATTTATATATAGAAAAATATTATAGAAATAATAATAATAATAATAATAATACTTTATAATAAATATATAATATTGGATTGAATGTTAATGTCTATGTAATTCAAATATCTAACTAAAAATATTATTGTTTATATAAAACGGTGTTATATTAATATAAACATTAGATTTAAAATTTATTTTCGAAATATTTTTATTTTAACCCAACACTTATAAAAGTGATTTAGTTGCGTAAAATTTGCTAATATATATAACTGTATTATTATTATTATTTTCAGATATTTCTAGACATAGTTTTATTATATATTATACAAGTAATGTGATTATTATTTAGTTGTTTTTTTTGACTAATTAATATTTTTACAATTAAAAAAAATTATAATAGTTATTTAATGTTTTATTCATTGTTTCATATATTTATTGTGTCAATAGTTAGATTAGTTATTTTAATTATAACATTTTTTTATAATTTAATCATCGATTTTTTTACATAATTAATTGTGTCTGTATTTAAAATTTAAAATAATTATAAAAAAACTAGTGATGCAATTAATTATCTTATTAATTTATTTATTATCAACATATATATTTTGTGTTTATCTTAATGATAATAATGATGATGATGATAATTTTTGTACTGATAAAATAGCATTCATCAATTTTAATGGTAATTATTTAATCTACATTTATATTAGATAGTTTTTTTTTAATAATATTTAGAAATTTTGTTAGTTTAATTTATTATAATTATTTAATACAAATAATTGTGTTTTATTATTATTTTTTTTTCAACAGTAATTTCAAATATTGCACCTGCCAACAATTTTGGTCATATTCAATCAACTGTAGGTCAACCAAAACTACAGGTACAGGTGCACTGTACATTTTATAGCACTATAAAAAACAAGTTGCTGGTTAATTTTAATAATAATAATAATTATAAGCAAGTAATCTACCGGTTCCAGTTATTGCAAATATTTTTTGTCGATCATAACAATCAAAAAGATAATATGCTGGACATTGATGATCATAATAATAATAATAATAATAATAGTAATAGTTTTAACACACAATTGTTAATCAATAATGATATTCATTATAACCTAAAAAATGAAACACCATTTTTTGGATGTCATCTAAAACTACCTGAGCTTAAGATTAATAGACAAATTTGTACAAATCATATACTAATTAATTGTAAGTTAATTTATTTTTTCATAGTATATTTATTTATGTTATTAAGTATTAATTTTTGTTTTTATTTTTATATAATTTTATTCATAATAATGATATACTTATAAATTGAAAGATAATTATATTTACATTATTAGTTGACATATAATTATCACTATTAATGATAAAAAATTAGCTAGAAATCCCCATTATTATTATTATATAAAAATATAAATTAAAAATATGTGCAATGGTGCAATGTTCATGGTTAATTTTTTTTTAAAAAATAAACTCAATATTTTTAAAGTTATAACTTAACCCATGATAAAATTAAATTTTATTATTGATGTTTTTAAAATAATTAATTTTTTTATGTATATCTAATAAATTATGGGAGGGGGGAATATAATAGGAGGTAAAAATATTTAGGTATTAAACAAACTCATCAATTTGTCGTTCAAAAAAAATTTTTTAGGTACTATTTTTAACATTTACTTAAAATTTTTGTCCCATCACTTTAAAAACTTTTTACTGTATTTACTAAAGATTTTGTAAATCATAAATCACTAATAATAATAATAATACTAATAATAATAAAATAATTAAAATCAATAAAACAAACACAAATATTTACACAATTTATTATCTAACAGCACTTTCTTATGTTTTATTTTTATAATAGTCATATCAATAGATCCTTCAATCATACAATTCAAGTGCATCTCTTGGCATTTCACCAAACTTTATTGCACATGGAGTACTAGTAGTAGTCAACAAAAATCTACCGGTGCCAATGATGCCAACGAAAATAACACAATTTATCATCTCATTGACACTACATTTAAGTTGGTTTTACATTTTTTTGTTTTGTTTAATATAGCTATCATTTATTTTATACAGTATACCATATATTAGTTATAATTAATTTTGTTTATCATAGTTTGGAATTTTAAAAAAATATATTTTATAATTCAATAACAGTGTAGTAGTAGTAGTAGTAGTAGTAGTAGTAGTACAGTAGTACAGAACATATATTTATTTAGCATTAGATTTATTATTTCAAAAAAATTATATATTTATTTATATGATAAATATTTTTCTCATATATATTAGTCATTCACACAAAAACTGTGGACTATTAGCTGTCAACTACTGTGAATGGAGTCATAAAACTCATCCCATATATAACTGGGCGGTCGACAGGTTCACATTTGAGCTAACCGGGCAAAATTTGATGTACAATGTTACCTATCTATTTACTATTGATCACTATGCCATCATTAAACCTGATGTGGTGCAAAATTTTCGGGCCATCAATATAACAGCTGCCAGTGCTCGGCTAGTATGGCAGCCACCCGAACATATTGAACATAACAGTGATCTCATAGACACATTGGTCTATGAAATTCATTATACTAGTGGTAGTAGTACCGGTACCTACAACACTTTAAATATTATTAGGCTAACTAAGCAAACATTTTATACATTAAACGATTTGCTGTCTAAAACGGACTACAATGTTAGCATTAGATGTAAAACTAGACAATCGGTAGGCGATGACTATCTGAGCGATTTTATATCCATAATAGTAACTACTGAAGCTAATAAACTTGAGGTGTATGAGCTGAAAGCCCAGGAGTACGGACTAAAAATTGTAAACCAAACCACCGAATCGGTGGTCATCGAGTGGCAACACCCGGAACCCGACAGTCTGGACCGTATAACGCACTATGAGATTCAGTATAATAACAACACCGGTATTCACAATGTGACCAACTGTTCATTGATTCATTGTGTCGCCCGTATCGATCATTTGACAAGTTTGACTACCTATATGATACAGGTGCGAGCCTGTAGCTTAACTACTTGCTCGCAGTTTGCATCGGAACGTCGACTGGTGGCCACACTTGCCGTACCCGTCCTTAACTATACCAATGTATGGTATATAATAATAGCGACGTTTCTGGCGATTACCTGTACTATTATCATAATCGGTTTACTTTGCCTGTCGATGATTGGCCACAATAATGGTCATCAACAGCTTCGGTCGCCATTGATTATGTTGAAGGAAATGGGCGGTCAGTCGTCACGTTTGATGAGACTGTACTCTAGAAAAAATCGAGACGACAACGACGACATCACTTTGTCGACAACGAGGAGAGGATCTAATAGTAGATCAGGCAATGAAATCAGACTCCCGGCTATTGTCGAAGAGGAGGACAGTAGATCTGAATGGGAGGAACCGGATCTATCGCCTTCAGGTAGTCAGTCGTCTACACGAGCGTTCATATATGTAAAACCCTTGACCACCAGCAGACGATCATCACGAGTCTGTCTACGCCTGTCGAGTCATGAAAGTGGTGGACAAGTATCACTTGACTCTGGTATTCACGATTTAGATTTAGGATTACCACTAAATAATAATAATAATATGGTTTCTGTAGTTCAGTGCTCCGGCACTGACATGTCATCAACTAATAGACCGCTAGACGATACAGTCCGGTGCTTACTATCGAACTGTGCTTTTAAAAGTAATCCTATTTATGAGCAAAAAATTATGGATATTGAATGAATTAAAAGACAAATATATAATTAATTATTGTAATTATAAATATTTGTAAAATAAAAAATAGAATAATATATAAAATAATAATAAAATGAGATAATTAAGCAAGCAATTAAAAATTAAATCATAATTTTAAAAACAAACATTTGTGTATTGTAAATTACAATTTGTAATATTAGAAATTATTAAAAAAATATATAATTTTATAATATATACAAATACAATAGATTATTTTTAATTTTTTTAGCACAAATAAGCATTATTTTGCATATTTATTTAATATTGATTTAACCTACCTGTACTAACTAAATATTTACTGACCTAATAATAATAATAATAATAACATTATTATGATTATTATTTTTTTTTAATTTATAAAAAAATATATATTATTTATTTAGACATTTCATACACAGTAACTATCGTAACAGTAATCATTATTAAGACAGTATTGTAATACTGTAATAAAAATTATTATTATATAACACGTAACAGTATTTTATGTGCAGTTATATTGAACTGAATAATAATTTAAAGTTAGTTTGTTTTTTTTAAAATTAAAAACAACAACAAAAATATTTATGTTTACCAACACTAACCTCGCGGCCGGCCGACCGTTATTACCGAAAAATACCGACGAGTATATACCATCTCAAGTGCACTATCTATGGCCAAAAGTTTGGTCACTGAAAACCCGAACCAATTCACACTACAAGTTGCTGTTAGACGTGTTGCTCATATCGATGGCACTGAGCGCCCGTAGTCACGGCCGTCGGACACTGTGGTCACTGTTGGCCGCAGCCATATATCTGGACTTTTATGATCCGTTTGTCAGTTCACAGAACCGATACACCCGTAACCGTATTTGGCGTTTATTTTCATAAGTTTTTTCTATTAATAAATAAAATATTAATTATTATAATAATACTTAATAATTAATATAAGTATTAATCTGTATTTTATTGGTCAAAGTTTTGTTATATTATGTTTATTTGTATTATATAATTAGTTTTACATATATTTTTAATTAAATTAAAAAAAAAAATTTTTCTTCTAGAAAATATGTTTTATAAAATAGCAATTAACTTAAATTTAACTTTATATTAAACTAAAAAAATAAAACAATAATATATAATATGCTAAACATTTAACAAGTTAGTTAATAATAATAAATAATATAAAATAATAAAAATACAATTATTAATTATTATTATTTTATTTAGTCATTTTTTTAATCTATAGCTAATGTGATGATATACTGTACAATATTATACATACTATGTATTATATACCTGTGCTCTGCACACATATACACACTGACCATAGTTACTATACCTGTAATAATTTATTATAGTTTATTATTATACATGTATTAAACAGTATTGCAAGGATGGGTATATATAGTGGTCTCCTCCAATAGAAGATATGGTAAAAGGGTAAAATGCGGGGGAGAGTCAATTAATACACAATATACTACACATATGGGTCTATCACTTATTGCTCAATAACATTGAAATAAAAATTTTATAGTAGCCAACAAAAATAAAAAATAAGGAAAAAAAAGTTTAATGTTATAATTTTGCTTTTTATGTTATTATTTTTAGTAATTCTTATAATTTTAAGATTAATAGTTACTTTTATTTTTATTTAAATCAAATTATAATTAATTTATAGTTAAATAATAACTTATTTTTCAAAATATTTTAGTAATTTATTTATACTCTAAATTTAATATAGTTTGGTCACTCTAGTTTATTATACTCTATAATACCATGATATATACTTATACTTGCAATACAGGTATTAAATACACTGTAATGTAATAATAAAGTTTATGATACACTAACGCATGCGTTAAATATTTTTGTTTTGATGTTTGTGTTTATATATTATTTATTTTTTTTTAAACATTTATTTTTCACTCAATAAACAAATAATATTTGTTAATATTTTTTAAAATTATAATAATAATTTAAATTACTTTTTAATTGTTTACTATAAATATGGCACTAATATATTGAATAATTGAATTGAAATGCAATGATTATAATGATTGTAATATAACTTTTTGTGTGTTAAGTAATATAAATAAATTGATTAAACAATTAATAATAATGAATGCATTGATTAGCAATGTTTTGACAGTCAATCAAATGAGACATCAATTTGAAGACATTTGCCGACAAAACCGACAACTTGTCGACATCTTAGCCAAAGTTCACCGATTGGTCGGCCGATTGTTGTCGATGGAGACAGTGGTCGCACAGTTGACTCAAATGTCACCATTGGTTGGCCAAGAGTTAAATCAGTTGAGCGACAAGTTGGCCGACTTGTTAGCCGCCAGTGGCCAGAAATCGGACGCCGACTGTGAGATTACTGCCGAAAAAGTGGTCGCCACAGATGAGCCGTCAGCTGTTGAAAATAAGTCGACAACAGGTCGAGAAGTGAGTGAAATAACGACCAAATCGGCCGAAGAACTATCAGTTAATCGCCGATTCAAGTGTTATATCGAAGGCTGTGGCCGTATATGCAATACCATTGACTCACTGGTCGCACATCTTGCGGCCGATCATTCGGTAACTGTTTATCGGTGTACCGATGATGACCTGCTGGACACTTGTTATGATAAACTGTTTCCTACACCAAGTGATCTGCAAAAACATCGCCAACAGAAACACTGTGTTGTTGTCGTCGACAATAACAACAGTGAATCAACGGTTCCTAACGTATCGGCTGATAAAGTGGTCAAAAATAAGAGAAAACAGAAACCGTTAGCTAATGATAATAATAATACAAAAGCTGTTAAACGCAAGAAAACAACGACGAAGAAGATGATGATGAAGAAGACGACAACGAAAGCTGGTGACCAACAACTCGGTGGCGATCAAAATGATGATAACAACGGTCGGTATGTTGTTGACGATAATACCGATGGCGACAGTGTATGCAAAATATGCGGTCAAAAGTTTGTCGGCGCCGATCGTCAACAGCTTTGGTGTCACCAGAAGTCACATGAAATTGATTCCCAATGCGACCGATATATCACTGAGTTTACGAACGGCGGCTGTAAACAGCTGAAGAAGATGACTGTCTACTTGTTTCGCCAGAAGAAACAGTTTACCTCCGATCGGAAATGTTTGGTCACCGATTGTAGTGAACTATTTGCCAATAGGACAGCATTTAGTCAGCATTTGGTCGATAGTCACGGCATACGTCGTGTGTTTGATTGTCTTCATTCTGCGTGCGACGAGTTGTTTGCCACCAGAGATGAACTGCGGACACATAGCCTGACTGTTCATCGCAAGAATGTCTACAAATGTGATTCACACGATGGATGTGACAAAGTGTTTGATACTTCAGATAAACTAAAACAACATATAGACTCATCAGATAGTCATCAACATAAAGATGACGGTCAAGAAGATATCGATAATGAAAACACTGATCACTCGGTTGCCAACAAAATCAATAATAATAATAATAATCTTAAGAGATCTTCCGATCAATCGTTTCAGTGTTTGGTCGACACCTGTAGTCAAGTGTATGACATCCAGACTGCTCTGATTGATCATCTAATGGATGATCATTTGATTATTCCACAGGTCTGCCACCGAAGCCAGTGCTTGGGCCGGCTGTTCATCGATAAGGCCAGCTATGAGCGACATTACGACGAAAATCATCGCAACATCGGTTGTCAGATGGATGGCTGTGGATATCGGACCTATTGTCAGAGCAAACTGGACGACCACATGAACTCGCACTCAGGTCGCAAACCGTACCGGTGCCCCATAGATGGTTGCGGCGCTACTTTTACCTACAAGAGTAACGTATCGCATCATCTGAACGGCGTTCACGAATCGTTGCAACTTCGGTGCGATCATCCGGGCTGTGATCGGACATTCCAGAACCGGCGCCGTCTCCAGAATCACAAGTACTGGCAGCACTCGCCCGATCCGATCAAATGTACAGCACCGGGATGTGATCGGACATTCCCTACGCGTACCGAAATGTATCAGCATCGTCTCAAAGTGCATGTCGAAGAATTGTATCAATGCAATTGGCCCGGCTGTGAGTTCCAGTGCAAGGGTACCAGTGCTCTGACACAACACGAACGATCCCATTCCGGTTACAGGAGATATAAGTGCGATCGGTGTCAGTACGCCAGCAATAGTAAAGGATTGTTTAACAATCATTTGAAACGTAAACATAGTGGCGAACAAGGGGTAGTAGTGTAGTGATCTCGCAGCCCAACTGTCCACCGAAATTATCAATAATATGATAAACCATTTATTTTGATTATAGACTCTATAACTATTATATATTAATTACGGTAGTGCTGTATAGTTATATTAAATATATATACCGGTATAGTTTTATATACTGTATGTGTGTACACTGTACAGTATTAATATATTGATAAATTAACAGTTAATTTTGTTTATAAAAAATTTCATAATTAACAAAATATTACTATTTATTGATTGTTTTATTTTTTATTAACTGAATAATTAGTGTTGATCTTATAATTTTTGATACAATAATTTTACTAATATATGATATAGTATGTTTATTAGTTTATTTACCAATAAATTGATAATCTCTATAATCTAATGATTTAAAATTTTTAAAAATAAAGTTTATTTTAAACTTAAAGTTTAAATAATTTCTAATTGTTTTTAATAAATATAATTTTGGGTATACATAATAAACTAATAGGTTATAAATGGCAAGATATTAAATCTATATAATAATTATATCAATTAAATTATTACAGTTTTTATTAATTATATTTTTTTTAATTATTTCAATTTTTGTTAATAATTTTACTATATTTTAATTATATTTAATGTGTATTTAATTTTAATTCTATCACGTTTAACATAATGTAAAACACAATTTATTTTTAATTTACTAAGTCTAGTAAATTGAAAATTATTATTTTTTAAGTTGTAAATACAAGCTAAATTGCATATTAAAATATACGGTACTTATATATTATTAATTTTAGTTATGTTAAAATTATAACATTAAAACATTTATATACATTAGTTATTAACTGATTAATAATTTATTTATTAGTACTGTATTTACGATTGAATTATAATAAAAGGTATACTTAAAACCAGGGTTAAGTAAGGGGGGTAGGGGGGGTAAGGCCAAAATACCCCCCCCTAAGATCGAGAAATTGGGATTTTACCCCCCCAGACTTTTTGACCAAATGGGAAAAATTGTCGCTTAAAAACGAGGAGAAATGACCCCCCTCCCTAAAATTTCGGCGCCGCAGGCGCCGAAAATTTTTTTGAGATTTATAAAAATTTTAATTTTAGTTAATACTATTTTAGTAAGTGTTTTTATGTTTTTAAAATTTATATGATTCTAATTATTGATTAAAAATAAGTAAAAAAGTTAAAATAACGTTAAAACTCATCAAAAAATAACATAATTTTACTTAAAATATTAAACTAAAAAGTTAAAAAATACCAATTTGTTGAAAAGAATAATCATATTACAATATAAATAGAAGTTTGAGATAGTTTAAGAAGTTAATAAAAAAATAAATACTTATATTACAAGGTTTTTATTAATAATTTTTAAAATTTTAACTAAAAAATTTAAAATATTTTTAATTTTATAATTAGTATTCAATCAGTATTTACATAAAAATAACATTAAAAAATAAAAATATATATCTATAAACTATAAGCATTAAGTATTATTTAAAAAATTATTTTAAAAGTTAAAAATTACTAAAATACTAAAAAACTCAGTGTATCATTAATGCCTTTATCACCTATTTTTAAGTATTTAATACATTATTATTTTATTTTTTGCTAAAATTTAAGTTTTTATTAATTTTTAAAATTTTTTTTTAAAAATATTTATTTTTGTTAAAATTTAACTTTTTTTTATTTTTGTTAAAGTTTTTTTTAGTATTTTTGTAAATTTTACCTATTTTCCTGGGAATTTATACGGGAACTTATGGGAATTTTATCGAATTTACATGGGAATATTCGGGAATTTAAGGGAATATTAGGGAATTTTCTCTTGACCCCCCCCTTGATTTTGGATTTTTGAAAAAATTGCCGTTTAAAAATGCAATAAAAATCTTACCCCACCCAATACCCCCCCCAAGATTTTTCGAGAATTTTGTAAATTTTACCCCGGTCTACCCCCCCCTAAAATCCAAAACCTTGCTTAACCCTGACTTAAAACATATCATAAATAATAATAATAATAATAGGAATTATTATTAGTATATTTATAATATAATTTAGCATATCTTTTGTGTGATTATTATTTAAATGCAATTCTTTATTTAATATCATGAAATATAATTACCACAATAAATAATATTATATTATTATTAATAATAATAATAACATTATTATAATACCGTTATTATTATTATTAATTTATTACTTTATAAGGTAAACTGTATTATATATATAATGTTAACAAAACTGTTAATTAATTAAATATCAGGTACTTGTGATTTTTATATGTGAATGTCATATCCATGACATTAGATGATAGTAAAGCGTGATTTAGCACATGTACTCTACAGTATTATACTGTATTAGTTGATTACATATACGGTATGTAATCAAATGTATTTATTATAAAGAATTACAATACTAATACTATACAACTATACAATGTATACCTACTGTTCCCTCTTACATATCTATTGCACAAATCAAATTTAATGAGTGAGTGTGTATGTGTTTGTGTGAGAGAGAGAGAGTGTGTGTGTGTGAGAGTGAGAGTGAGAGAGAGAGAGAGAGAGAAAGAGAGAGAGAGAAGAGAGARAGAGAGAGAGAGAGAGAGAGAGAGAGAGAGAGAGAGAGAGAGAGAGAGAGAGAGAGAGAGAGAGAGAGAGAGAGAGAGAGAGAGAGAGAGAGTAGGAATATTATCATAAAAAACAAATAACTTTTTTTTAATACACTACATTAATTATATGTCTACATGTTTGGCATAGTTTTGTTGGGAATTTATCAATCAGTATATACAAATATTTTTTTAAAAAAAAATTATTAAAACTAATTAATTAATTTTTTGGTTTAACTAACTAATAAAAACAAACAAATAAATAAAAAATAATGTCAAGTCATGTAGATGTCCGACGGCACCGGTGTTTTGGACTGTATTATAGTAGCAAAAAAAGCCATACGATTAGAGAAGAGCTGAAAACGCCATCCGTTTTGAATATAGCACTAAAAAATCGTGTACTCCGTAGGCCACACAACTGGCCGTCACCGTTGATACGTAACACATCGTTTGTTACGGCACTGGTATGCGATCTGGTCAGACGAGACAAGGAACCGATGACACCGGGAACTAGATATCAGCCAAATGAGAAACCGGTATATGTTTGCTGTGAAATACTAGTGCCACATATTCAAACAGGTATGTAATTTACAGTATAGCTAAATACTGTATATTTATGTATTTTAATACAAAGGTTAGTTATTTTTTATGAAAAAATAAATATTATTTTTAGATAAATGATTATCAATATTATCGATAATATATTTTGATTTGTATATTATTTTAAAATTATAATTATATTTTTTCATTATAGTACTTATTATTAACTATTTTTTATCTAAAAATAAATATTTAATAGATAGTGGCGAAACTACCAGTGCTAGTGTCGAACTGGCCAAATTGATATCGGCACGGGGCAACAAAGAGGATGATAATTGTGGCTATATATTGGCCAGCGAACTGGGCGGTAAAATGGTTCACTTTAACCTATTCCCGCAGGACAGGCTCATCGATCAGGGTTACCGACAATATAGTCCAGTTTGGCGGCCGGGCATCGAATGGCTAATCAAACTGTGGCTCATTGGTCAGCACAGGGATGATCCGATGGTCAGATGTCAGATATTGTTGTGCTATAATGATAGGCATCAGCCGGACAGGCCATCAGAGTTTCATGTCTACATCGAGTTCTTCAAGTCAGACACCGATACACTAACAAGTAATGGCGTACGTTATGATGATGATGACCAACACGTGTTAAGTAAAGGTGATAGACAAAAGTTACTAGATGATTTAATTAGAAATATTTGCAATGAAAAACACAAATTAACCGAGGATCAATTGGATCAATTTACAAAACAATTGATACAACTAGAACAATGTATCAAGGGCATCGAACAAAAATATAATAATAATAATAATTTGCAACAATTTTTCCAAAAATTCTATAAAATTTTACACCTGGATAGTGATTATAATGATAATAATGATGATGTAGGTGCTGATGATAACATCTATGATGATAATAATGTTGATGATTATGTAGATACTGTGTCATTAGAGTCATTGAGCAAAAGTTTAGTGTCGACACCGATACCGAAACTAAATAATACTGTTACCGACAGTACAGCAGCCGTTACAGTAGACGCTGTCACTCCACCTACCGAACCAAATACGATGGAAGAACCACTTGAGTCAACCATCACAACATCGTCTTTGTCGTCATCATCACCACCGATATCACAACCACCACCACTACCACCAGTATTAATGACGGCTTCCAATACTGTCGATAATATAGATACGATGTCGACTACACCAACGCCAGCAACAGTTCAGCAACCAGTAGTCGAGTCGGAAGACAATAGTCATGGAGTCGAGGAATTGATGATACAAGAAGAAGTTGATCCCAATCAACAGCTCAATGATGAAGAAGATGATGATATAGACATTGTGTCAGCAGACTCACTGAGTCACTCAAGTTTAGTGTCGACACAGATTCCGACACTAAATAATACTGTTACCACCTGTAGTACGGTAGACATCAAAGTCGCTGACACTAGTTTAGCCACCGAAGCAAATACGAGTCTGGAGTCAATAACAACATCATCGTCGTCGTCATCATTACCTTCATTACCACCAGTATTATCATCGACGAAAGCATCAAATGCTATCAATAATATAACTGTGACACCGATACTAACGTCAGAGACAGTGCAGAGTCATCAGATAGTGGAGTTAGAGTCGGACAACAGTCCGACAATCAATGAGTCGATAGTACAGAAAGTAGATCCCAATAAACAGCTTAATGATGATGAAGATACTAATGATGAAGTGATTGAGGAGATGCTAGTTGTTGTGGATCAATTCATCAATCAATTGATACCCCAATCAAACAATACTAATAATAATAATTTATTACCAACTAATAATCAATTAGATGATGACAATAGTTTTGCTAATAATAATTACCAATTTATAAGCGAAACACAAAACAAAGATAACAAACTATCATCACAACAATTATCCAAAACAACTAATGACACGAATAATTCAAGATTTAATCGTCAAGTTTTATGCGGATATTTACTATCGTGGCAATTGGCACCGTTAGATTTCCTGCCCGTTATCGGCCCCATTAGGTCACTAGTGTGGGCGTATCGCAACTATCCAACCAATAGTCGTTTGGCTACCATAGAGCTGGTAGCACAGGGAGCTGTTGGCTTGACAATGGACATATTTTGTTTTGCCCGATGCTGGCCACTGTTACCCGATGCACGAAGAGCTTATAGTAGATTAGGTGGCCGACAATTTGGTCGGGTATTTTTGGATAATCCATTTGGGCGGCTATTAGAAATTAGCCGACCCGTAACGCTTACCTATACGATACTAGGATTGGCCACTGGAGGTGCCAAAGGGTCTACAGTTAGCACTGTCAGGGGAGCATTATGTAGTGTCTGTGCCATTGTTGTCTACAACGGTTTACTTTCGGTTATTTACGAATAAATTTATTTATTTTTTATTTTATTAATTATTAATCAAATTTAATCAAATATAATAGTTTGTTGTTTTGTTATTATTATAATAATAAATAAAATATTTAATTAATTATATTTCTAATATTTTTCTGGCTGTTCTATAGTATAGCTCCCAATTGTTGGGCACGCTATTATTATTTCTATATATTTATATGTATTATTAAATTTAAATATTTTTATATTTAAATTTAGTTTAAAATATTAGTTTAATTATTTACAATAATTGTATGATATGTTACAAAATATAATAAGTCATATGTATCGGAGCTGGAAAATGGGAGTCACAGTAATCGGTGGTATATATCATACATATCAACACCAGGAGAACAGACAACATCGACAACTTCAGCCATCAATAGATGAAACAAAATGTTGGAAACAATCGATATTTAGTTTAAGATGTGCCCATCAAATGGATGGTAATATTATTCAAAAGTGTCGACCGTTTTTGTTAAGTCTGGTTCGAGTGAAATTGTCCGACCCGTTAACAGACTATTCAAGGGCCAGTGGTATACTAGTGGACAACCAGTTGGGACTAATTGTGACCAACAATCACGTAATACAAGCAACCGATAGAATTGCAATCTATTTGATTGATAACCAAACCCTACGCTATTGTGATGTCTTTATTGGCGATCAAAATCAAGAACTTATTGATAAAATGTTTGGCCGAGTAGTCTATACGGCACCGGATCACGATCTGGCACTCATCCAATTGTCACCCATTCGACCGAATCTACTACCTGTATGCGAGTTCAATACCGATTGCCAGCCGGGCGATCCCATTGCAGTCATGTCCTCTATGAATGGCCAATCAATTATTGTTGACGGCTTAATCCAAACACTAGATAAGCGCCAAAACCTAATCCTTATAAAGATTAAAGATATTGGCGGCAATACAGATGTACTGGTTCACACCGGGTTTATCACTGGCGGTTATTCGGGTGGTCCAGTAATTAATATGTCCGGACAGGTAGTGGCAGTACATAAAGGCAGTTCTCGAGGTTCATCATATTTTGCCGTAGCTATTAGTGCTAAAACAGTTATGGGTTAGTTATAGTACTGTAGTTATAGTTTTACTAACTGGTAGTTAATTGTACCGATAGTTTGTTTTAATTTAATTAATGTCCAAAAAAACTGAATTACTGTTTGTTTAGTCATTAGATGTGAGAATTTGTATATTTATTTATTTTTTTCAAATAGATTTCATAGAAAAAGGCAAACAATATCTATTGACTGATAGTATTGAATTCATGCAGACGTTAGCCGTAAAACACCGGAAGCTTATGAAAAACAGAACATTGGGTTTAGTTTTGGTTAACAATGAAATAGTGAACATTACATTGACATCATATAATATTAGGTAATAATAATAATAATAATGCGATTAAATTTAAATATAATAACTGTGTGTGTGTGTGTGTGTGAGAGAGAGAGAGAGAGAGAGAGAGAGAGAGAGATTTTGAATACATAAATTAGTTTCAAATTTTTATTTTCTTAATTATAGACAATATTTAATAGTTTCCGATAGAATTCTTACCTATAATGACATTGAATTTACGACACCTGAAGTGATGTCCGATTATGTCCAACAATATCCTATTAATGGAAATATAGTACTTATAGTTCACAGATTAGAAAACAATCGCATACTTCAAGGTCTCGTCCAACCCGTAACTGTTGAACAGTTTCAATGTTGAGATATTATCATTAATACATTTTTTTATATAAATATATTACAATTTATCAAATTTATTGATCAATATATATAAACAACTGTTAACCCCTAAAGTGGTTTATATTATTAAAAAATCTAATATATATATAATTATTAATAAATATCAATATATTTTTACATCTATTAATATAAGGATACAATAATATTTAAACTAATTACAAATGTACGGTACAATTACAATGATTAAACAAAACTTAAGTATTAATTAAATAATTATTTAAACAAAACATGTTTGAAAATTTCATTCAAGTTTAATTAATTTAATTATGTTTATGTGTAATAATAAAATTTTAATAATGCAGAACATTTGTTACAAACAAACAAATTAATTAATTACAATATTAATAAAAACTAAAAATATAAACATGTTTTGTTATAATAAAAGTTAAAACCATAAATTATTATTAGAAAATAAAATAATTTTCACAATTAGTTACCTAAAATAATTCGTTATGATTTGTTAAATATATAAATATATAGTAATTAATTAAATTATTAATTAGTTTATACTCTTTTTGATTTAAATATTTTCATTTAAGTTAAAACTAATTAATAATATTTTTTTGATAATATAGTATATTATAATGTAAAATATAAAAGTATAAAATGCAAAGATTTTCTATTAGTTTTATATTAACTAAAAATATAAAATATTAAAAAACAATTCATATAAAATTATTTATAATGAATAAAATTTTTATTTTATTAGTTATTGTATGCATCAGTTGTACTGCAGTGTCGGGTCAGTACTTATTGGTTGGTGCTATAAATGCCATATCCAATGCATTGTTGGGTTTGTCACGACCGGCCAGAAGTATTGGTTTTTTCAATGGATTTGCTGCTGATATACGAGGAAAGGTAGACAATGCTGTGTCGATTGTTAACAATGATGTCCATCAGGTGTTGTCACGACTGCATTCTGGTGTCGATAAAGTCAAAAATGGTTTCTATAGTTCGGCCAACTATACTGAACTGACCACACAATTTGCCAGTGCATCTAATCAACTAAATTCATTGGTCGACTCTAATAATACCGTTCCCCTATCACTTTACGCCCAAATTTTGTCATTGTTTCGGCCATTGGAAGACAAGAGAGCCGGGTTTGTACAGCAAGCAAGTGATGATCTGTTGGCTAAAAGTCAAAATTTATACAATTTATTGAATGGTAACTCCAATGATATCAAAAAACAATTGAATGAAACTCTGGGCAAAGTGTTGTCATCGGCTCAGACTATCTGAGACTCAAGAAAACAGGGACTCAATCACAATAAGGCTGAACTGTTAGGTGTTGTACAACCACTACTAACATTGGCTAAACGAGGAAATCCATCAGCCATTGCAACACTATTTGATATGTCATATCTTGTGGTTAAAACAGGTTTAGGTGTCCGACATAATGTTGCCGCCATTAAAGAGTCACTGGAAAGGGATCAGTCGGCCGTTCAAAGAGATCAACAAAAATATGTGTCGGACAGCGAACTGAGTGCTCAGTTACAGTCAGCTAACGATGCACTTCAGGAACAGATCTCTGGATACGAGACTGATTTGAAAGGTGTTGAAGATATACTCAATCAGTTTGGTCTCTATCACCCATTGATTGACATTTTGTCGGCAATTAAATTGTAATCAGATTTCGGATATAAATCTTTATGTTATTCTGAAAAACACTACTTTTATTAACTCTTATATTAAATTTTTCTTATGATAAAACTTTTTAAATTTGTTAAATTTTGTTAGTTTGTTTGTATTCTTATATGAAATATTCAAAATAATAAAAAATAGTAATTAAGCACTCAATCAGTTCGGTCTCTATCACCCATTGATTGATATTTTGTCGGCAATTAAATTTTAATCAAATTTCTAATAAAAAAATTAATTACTATTTGCAAAATCTTTGATAAAATTAAATATTTTATTAGCTTTTTTAGAATGTATTTTTGTATAACATTTTATGCTTAAATAAAAATATTATTTTCTTAGCATTATTATAATTTAAGTGTATATTAATTATTGAAAATTTTTATTTGATATAATTTTTTTTATTAATTCTGATGTTTTCTTATATTTTATAAAAATTAAAAGTTTAATTCAAATTAGCGGTTGATAAGAAATTAAAGTAAGTTTTCTATTAGATCTTATTCAATAAAAATAGTAATTTAACAAAAAAAATTTAAGGTTTAGACATTTTTGTCAACTTATGTATAGATGTATTAATATCAGCGCACATATAGTTAAGTAGAAATACCTAACCTAAACTAAGCACAATTAATAATGATTGAAATAGCCATAGAAATGATTGGCGACTATAAGAGCATAACAATAGTAGTCAAAACTGATTTTGAGTTTTTGAAACAAAACTTCAATTTTATCTAATCTGAAATGAGTAATGGCATATAAATCTAACTGAGCATTAAGCTTATTAAATATATTAATGAATTAATTTATTAGTAGTGTATATATTGATTCTAAACAGACAACAATAGTTGTTCAAGGATAACAACTATTAATTTAGTTTAATTTAATTTAATCTATAAAATATAACATAAATGTATTATATAATTATAAATAAATCTAAATTAGTATTTTATATATACATATATTAATATGTGCGTTTGTAGCCTTAGGTGGACTTTGTCCAATAATATAAAATAGTTGTTTTAGTCTTAATATATAAAATTAAAAAAAATAAACGAATAAAAATAATAAATAGACGTTTCTAGTAGATTTTGGTCTACTTTATGTATATAAACAGACTTTCTTATTAATAGTTAAAGTATAGATCGAATCGCTGTCCAAACGTATGCCCAAAAAACAAGTGTTAAACAGAATGGTGGGATCAGTTTTTACTACTATACACACTAGTAGGATCAATGTAAAGGTAGTAATGACATCATAAGTAAATTACTACACAAATGTTATATAGTATTGTTAATGCTTTTATCTATTAAAACAAAATATAATATACAATGTTACCAATTAAAAAAACAACCTAAATATTAAAAATAAAAATAGATTAAATAAAAAATTATATTAAGCGCAAAATCTTTGAACTAAACTAAATATTAAACTAAAATAATTTGTAATATATTATGTAGTGGTGATCAATAAAACTATTTAAACATTTGGCGATAAAAGCGGCCGAAGAGTTGGCCAAAATACAACAACCAAAAACTCAAACCATCCATCGATCACATCAAAAATGACAAAAAATCAAAGAGGCACAAAGAGCA